ACACAGTTAGGGAACCTTAGGATAAGACAAAGGGCTGGGGAGATGGCTCAGTAGGTAAAGCCATTCGCAGTGACAGCTAGATGACCTGAATCACAGCCCCAGAGCCAAGGTCAAAAACAAAACAAACAAGCAGAGGTGGTAGCTTGTGTGGAATCCCAGCATTCCAATAGTTCACAGACCTAGAATCCGCCCTCAGGAGCTTGCTGGTCAGCTAGCCCAGAGTGCCTAGCACAAGAACAACACAGGATCTGCCTCAGAACAAGTGGAGCAAGAGCGGCAGCTCCCCCAAAGTTCTTCTCTCGACCATACACGCATCGTGGCACATGCATGCTCATACACAAGCGAAAAAAATTAAAGACGAGTGAAATGTTAGTGCATACACATAACATCTACACAGCAGGTGCACACATCCATACCACGTATCTCCTCTTGCTGCCTCTCTACTCAAAGCGCACCCTCTTGGCTTGCTTCATGACCACTGAGTTGGTCCTTAAAAATCCCATTTTATGGTCAGAACATCGGTTCTTGTGAATGGGAGATGCTGTGTGAGACAAGACAACTAATTACTCTCTGGGTTCCTCCTTTAATTGAGGTGACTGAAAGCCAGAAGACTGCCCAGTCACAGTGATGACTGACAGCTGGAGCTGGAGGCTGGATCTCCTGATGGGCCACTGCATCCCCCACGATGGAGCATCCTTCCTAGGTGGCCTCCTCCCTTCACTCCCTCCGGGGTAAGAGCACACATTGGAATCCTTCATTCCAAGATGCAGTTTCTTCCCCCTTCTTCCCTCTAGTCTGTGATTCTATCTTGGTTAACAACTCGCTCATTCCAATTTCTGACTGCAATGTGAAAGTCTGCCTGTACTGAATTTCTGGGATGGGCGATCTATGGAACGTTCTGTTTGCTCAGGGAGCTCTGGGATGGGGTCCAGTGTCTGTCCCCCCAAATAGAGGATGGTGGCAGGTGTTGCATCTGGAGAGGTTGACGCTTACGCATGACCTAGAGTTAAGGATCTTTACTATCAAACAAGGGAGCTTGTTTGGAAGTTTATCTAACTTGCACAACATCACACATGTTCCAGAATTTGCCTGTCCAATTTTCCATTAGAAAATGTTCTATTAGTCTATAAAGGCTTGTTACTGCCCTGTCTTTTAGAGCACATAACTTTGTTAGTATTTATTTTACTTCGCAACTTTCCTTTAAAGTATTTTTGCATTGGTATGAAATATTTGTGTAAGTGTATTAATAATCCATGTTCTCTGGCATTGTTCTCTCTCAGTGCATTACTTTCTGTCCTTGTAAAACATATTTTGTATACGGATATTTTGCCTTCATGGTTGTCTGTGCAACATGAGCATGCAGTGCCCATAGAAGTCAGAAGAGGGCACCAGATCCCCTAAGACTGCCTTATAGCCGGTTGGGCCCCACTAGGTGGGTGCTGGTAATCCAGTCTGGGTCCTCTAGGATAGCAGTCGGTGCTCTGCTGCTGAGTCATCTCTCCAGCCCCAAGAGTACATATTTACATCAAGATAAATCATGACTACTAGTCCCTCAACATTATTACTTCTGGTTCCATATTTTAGCATCTTCTTTGATGTTATTAACCTGTGTTACATGGTTTGGAAAAAAGATTGGACTGGGCAATGTAGCTCAGTGGTGGAGCACCTGCCTAGAATCCCCCAGTGAGGGGCTGAGGTGTGGCTCAGTGGTAGAGCACCTGCCTAGAATCCCCCAGTGAGGGGCTGAGGTGTGGCTCAGTGGTAGAGCACCTGCCTAGAATTCCCCAATGAGGGGCTGAGGTGTGGCTCAGTGGTAGAGCACCTGCCTAGAATTCCCCAGTGAAGGGCTGGGGTGTGGCTCAGTGGTAGAGCACCTGCCTAGAATCCCCCAGTGAGGGGCTGGGGTGTGGCTCAGTGGTAGAGCACCTGCCTAGAATCCCCCAGTGAGGGGCTGGGGTGTGGCTCAGTGGTAGAGCACCTGCCAAGAATCCCACAGTGAGGGGCTGGGGTGTGGCTCAGTGGTAGAGCACCTGCCTAGAATCCCCCAGTGAGGGGCTGGGGTGTGGCTCAGTGGTAGAGCACCTGCCTAGAATCCCCCAGTGAGGGGCTGGGGTGTGGCTCAGTGGTAGAGCACCTACATAGAATCCCCCAATGAGGGGCTGGGGTGTGGCTCAGAGGTAGAGCCCCTGCCTAGAATCCCCTAGTGAGGGGCTGGGGTGTGGCTCAGAGGTAGAGCCCCTGCCTAGAATCCCCCAATAAGGGGCTGGGGTGTGGCCTAGCAGTATTGCACTTGCCTAACATACAGGAAGGTTTGGGTTCTATGCTCAGCAATGAGGTATAAATAAAAGATTAAATTGTTTGTTGCCATATGGTAAAAAGTTTTCCACCCCTCCCATTTTAAAGAGTGCTTTCGATACACATCTGGTTTTAAGATTATTATTATTATATAAGCTTTCTGCCCTCATTTCAAGTGAGAACTTCCTTTTCTGAAAGATCCGAGAGTCTCTTTTCTTGTCAAGGTAAACCTCAATGAAAAAAATGTATCTCTATCTCCCTGTCACCTGGGGAATTTAATCAAGCTATGAGTCTGTCTTGAACCCAATAACCGTAACACTCTATTGAGAGCCACAACACCTAAGTCCATTGAGGATCAGTAGCACCGGCAGGCACAGCTACTACCTGCTGCTGCTATTGGAGGTCATATATGACAACAGCTGCCACATGCCAGGGCCAGGGCCACTGGGACATTAAGTCTCTAGTTTATAAAGCTGGACACAGTAGACCTCAAGGTCAGAACTTGTAGCTGAAAGCCTGTAGGCCTGCTGGTCCAGCCAGTAGCCCATGGGCACACCTGGGATGCCGGCACTGGGTGAGCTTCTCCTTGCTACTGAGCAGAGTAGAAGAACCTCAGCCTGCTGGCTGGTGACCCTTGTTCTGTCTGTACACATTGAAATCTTTTCTTAATACAAAAATATATAGGCTTGCCGGGCGATGGTGGCGCACGCCTTTAATCCCAGCACTCGGGAGGCAGAGGCAGGCGGATCTCTTTGAGTTCGAGACCAGCCTGGTCTACAGAGCTAGTTCCAGGACAGGCTCCAAAGTCACAGAGAAACCCTGTCTCGAAAAACAAAAAAAAAAAAAAAAACATACATATATATATATATATAGGCTTGAAATATCCTCATTGCAAGGAAGGAATTCCTTTTCGGAAAGACCCGAGTCCCCTCTGTGCAATGCTCCTATCTCCCTGTCACCTGGGGAGTGTAGTCCGAGCCCCTCATTCAGAGATGTAACTACCTGCTTGTCACAAGGATGTGGGAGCTTTTGCTTCATGAGACAAGTACCAGCTCAGATGAGCCCCTCAGATACCAGGTGACAGCAGAAGGGACTTGAGAGAAGAGGGAGCCAGCCTGGCAGTGGAGTCCTTCCGAGGTACCCTGCAGCATCTGATGCTTCTGTCTCTGGCTGGTTCCTCAATAGTTTACCTAAAATTGGCACTTCAAGGTGGCTTCCTGCTGTTTCTATGATAAAATTCTTTTACTTTCTGCATCAGAGAACTTTCTGAGTTGGCAGATTTTGTTACCAATTTTGACACCAACGTCTTTATGAAGGATTATGCCAAGAACCCTGCTGCATTATTTCAGCAAGAAATTGATAAATTGTTCATCATATTGTACTATTTGTAGGGTAAAAGGCCCACCCTGGCCCTGAAACCAGAGCCAGTGAAAGAAATGCTTTAGCCTCAAACCCAGAACCAAAGTAATGCACCCTGACTCTGAAACCAGTGCCAAAGAAACACACTTTGTCCCTGGAACAGAACCAGAGTCAGTGAAAGAACTATGCCCTGGCCCCAAAACTGGAGCCAAAGAGCTTTAAAAAGCCAGTGAAAGAAACACAGCTTGGCTCTGAAATTCGCCATTTCTGCCCCTGACGAACAGAACTAACTAATCACTGAGCAGGAAAAACTAACCAATCCCTCTTCTTCCCGGGAAAATGCTGCCCCTAAGAAGCCCAGTGCCTGGTCAGGTTCAGACTGCTCTTTTTCCACCCTGGCAAGGCGGCCAATCTCCTGGATTCTTCCCTCCCAATAAATCTCTTAAAGGAAGTTTGGGTGAAGACCTTTCCCCAAAGCAGAGATGGGGGAGAGCGGGACTCTTAACACTTTGGCTCTAACAACTTCAGTGGGGAAGCCCTCTCCTGCTGGAGCAGAGCTGCTACTTTGGGGAAACCTTCCCTAGAGCAGGGCTGTAAGCTGCTCTGCTTACTGTGGTCTGTGCTGTTCCCTGACTCCCGACTACCAGAGCACTCTTCCACCTGAGCTGTAACACTCAATATTCCAGGCTCCTGATTGCCAGGACCCCTTTCCTTCTGAGCTGTGACACTTTCACCATTTTTGAGAACTTGTCATCATTGCCTGACCCCAGATACCGCATTACTGTTTTGCTCTTTCCACGTGTTCTTTTCTGGTTCTGTTTGTAGCGTTTTATGCATTAGTCGTGCGATCTAGAAAACCCACCAGTTGTGTTATCTCTTCCTTCTCTGTACAGCATTGCTGGGTATTTCTTGTGCCTAGTATTTCAAGAAAGTTTGGTTAATTGAGAATGACACACAGCTTCCTTTTCCTTACGTCAGAATCTTCTTCCTTCTATTTTAAGAGTCCCAGGCCTGGAAAAGATTTGAGTCTTAAACCCGCAGGCCGTTTCTCCTGCCTCAAAGGGAGTGAGGACAAACACGAAGGTGAGAGCAGTCCTGGGGGCGGCCATTGCTCTCAGAGCGCCATCTTCAAGCGGTTGGGAGGAGGTATATTCTTGCGCGACGGTCCCCAGATGCAAAGACTTCTGGGAGATAGAGTTTCTGCTCTACTCCTAGTGAGAAAGGAGAGCCCTGGAACTCGGGCTTCCGGTAAGATGCTGCCCATGCGCGCGTCTCAACCTATGCGCGTGCTCGTGCATGCACACGGCCTATGCGCCGCCCTCATTTCCTGAAGGTCCAGGGTCGACGCTCCCCTCCCTCCTGTAGCTTTTGCTTTCGCTAACTTGAAGTCGCAGATCCTGTGAGGGCCGAGGCCGGAGTTTTCCGGTCTGCAGCCGGAGGGCCCAGCGGGAGCGCGGCGCGGAGGCCGAGGACAGGGGCGGCGGGACTGTCAGCTCGGTGAGGCCCGTGGGCGCAGTTTGGGGTCCGCGAGAGGGAGGCTGGGCCTGGCCGGTCGCTCGCCGAGGTCCTACCGAGCTGCGTCAACCTGGGCTCCCCGCTGTCCTGTGCGGAGCCCAGGAGGGACGCAACCAATGGTCGGGCTGACAGCGGAGCAGCCGCACGGCTTTGGGGTGCATGGACGGTCCGAGGACGAGGTGTGCAGGCGCTGGGAGGGTCAGCGGTTCCAGATTCCCACGGTGTCACTCAGCGCCCATCAGCACCAGTGCTCTGTCTGCTGGTTCCTACCTTTGTAGCACTTTGTCTAGCCTTGCAGCATCATAACGGTCTAGTGCAGGAAGTCTGCTTTTGCTTTTGCTCGTGGAGGAATCAGTGTGATGGTGTGTGACTTAACCAAGGTCCTGCAAGGGTTTGGGGATAAGCGTGCCATTGTTTTCTAGTTTCTCTCGTATTCCTTTTTAAAATGGGCAGCAGTAACCGAGTTTAGTTGGATAGTTTGAAAAGAAACCACGCTTTATTACTGTTTATACGACGTCTGCCCATCTGGATCACTTTTCCTTTTTACGTTTTTGTTTTTGAAACGTGATCTCCCTGTGTTACCCAGGTTGTTCTGGCACGCGGTGATCCTCCTGTCTCAGCCTCCAGAGAACTGGGAGTACATGTATGTCACCTCATGGAACATTAATTCCAAGTGTACAGAGCTCAAAATTCTTCATTCACATGACTTAGTTTCACCAATTTGAACAGGAAATAGAAATAGGAAACAGGAAAAATGAAAAATAACCTTTTTGCACCTTTACATCTAATGCCCAGGGTCTGAAAAAAGAAGCAGTTTTGAGTTCATTGTGTAGCCCAGCTGGGTGGTGATGGCACAAACCTTTAGTTCCAGGACTTGGGAGGCAGAGGCAAGCGGGTCTCTGAGTTCGAGGCCACCCTGGTCTACAGATTGAGTTCCAGGACAGCCAGGGCTACACAGAGAAACCCTGCCTTGAAGAAAGAAAGTGTAGCCCATCCAACTGTTGGAGCTACTGGTTCCTCCTGTCACCCGTGTTACCTCTTCAGAATGTTTGTAGATTGTGACTTCATTTGGCAGTTCCCAGGCAGGAGATGTGTCTCTGTGTAGACCAGTTAACACCCCATTTCCTTTTCCTCCCCTAGGTCTGCCATCAGCAGCGTCTGCACTTCCCAAGAGCAGCAGAAAATGAGCCGATCGAGGGTGAGTTTTTCCGTGTGTAAAGAGCCTTTTCTCCTTTGTAATGTATTTGGGAGACTGACAAAGGACTCTTCTTTAAAATGGTGTGGAGGTGGAAGACTATAAAGGCGATTACAATATAAAATATAGCCTGAGCGGCAGGATTGCCATGGCCTGTTGTGTAAGCAGTGTCATAATTTTAGGCTAATGGAGTTACTTGACACTGTGAGAGAAAGAAGGATCGCGTCCTTTCCATCACCTGCCTGCAAGTACTGTTGGGAGACGCCACTTTTGGTTGCTTATGGGTAGCAAAATTTTCCTAGGACTTGGCAAGTTTTCTTTATTCAGGTTAGTGTGATCATTAATGACATTCATAATAACAACCTTGGAGTCCTGTTTAAGCAGAGGCCCCGCTGCCCATGAACTTGTTGCAGGACGTTTTTCCAGGGACCATATGTGACGGGCCAGTGTGATCCATTTCCATCTTTCCTTTCTAGTTGTAGTAGTTTGAGGAAACCCTTTTAATAATGGTTCTTTTAAAATGCCTCTTATGGTTTTAGAGGGTTTTTTTTCTGCCTCCTCCTCCCAGAAATGGGATGGTTTATTTGTTGTTTCACAGTTTTGGGATTTGTTGCCATTGTCTTTACCTTTAAAGTAGTTGAAAAAATTCCTTGCTTTCCATGTGAGATTGGTTCTTTGCTCAGAAAGATTAGTCGGAGTGTGTCCGTTCATTTTTGTTGTTGTTGTTTTGAGCCAGGGCTTCACGTAGCTCAGGCTGGCCTCATGTAGCTCAGGCTGGCCTCCAGAGTGCTATTGTAGCCTGAGAATGACCTTGATCCTGGTGAACTCCTGATCCTCCTGCCTCCACATCTAAGGGCTGGGATCACAGGTGTGCACCACCTTGTCCATTACTTTTCTATCTGCATGTTGAAAATTACCTTGACAAAAGCCACTTAAGGAAGAAAGGTTTTATTTGGGTTCACGGTTCTGGAATACAGTCCGTCTAGCGGGGAGGGGCCGATATTAATGTCTTGTCTGAAGTCAGGGAGGAAAAGGGACAGCATGCTGCTACACACCTCCCTTTGTGTTGGCAGGCCAGCATCCCAGCCGGGCACGGTGACATCCACAGCGGTAGGGTCTTCCAGCGCCACTGTGTAATCAAGACAGTCCCCATAGGCCCGTCTCCCAGATGACCTATCCCATTGACAGCACTGACATCAAAACTGTTGTACAAGGCATTTGTGAGTTTCCTTCTAGAAACCTCTGTGATGTTCCTGTCTCCGCTGTTGTGAGCTTAGCGGTTATGCAGTGATGGCTGTTGTCACCGTCTGCAAAGGTCTTAGGGAAGGCTGAGTGGTAGCTCACTCTTAGTACCATTTTCTACTCATTTGTTCACTGAATACTTTTGTGAACGTGAACTCGTCATTTTGGCTGCATAGCTCCTGTGGGAAGACAGATTAGAACTACCGGGTGGGCGTCTGAGCAGTGTGCTTCGTGCTTTGAAATGTTTCAAGTGTCTCAGCACGTTGATGGTGAGCAACCTTGATAGTCAGATCTTGAGTGTAGAGACCAGATAATTCCTTTAAGGTATCTTTTGAGTTCTTGGGAAACACTTCTTAAATATTTGACAGCATTTGTTTTTTATTCAACATTTTATTTTGAAGTAATTTCAGATTCATAGAAAAGTTGCAAAGAGGAGCTAGAGAGATGGCTTAGTGGTTCAGCCAGATGGCTGGCTGCTCTCCCAGAGGTCCTGAGTTCAATGTCCAGCAACCCCATGGTGGCCCACAAGCATCTATAATGAGATCTGGCTCCCTCTTCTGGCCTACAGGCACCCATGCATGCAGAACACCATATACATAATAATTTTTTTTTTAAACAAAAGAAAGGTTACAAAGAAACAGAAGAATGATACAAAGAAATCTTGCATTCCTTTTGCTCTAAGATACCAATTCTTTTAAAAAAACAACAACTTTTTAAAATATTTTGTATGTGCCTACATGTGTGTGATGGGGCAGTATGTAGCACTTCCATAGTGTCTCCACATGGATTCTGGGGATGGACCCCAGATCATCAGGCTGTGTGGCGAGTGCTTTACCCACTGAGCGGTCTCACTAGCCTACCCTGCCAGCGTTACTCAAGAGAGCAGAACGGCTGCTAAAATAATCGACAGTGTGCACTCTACAGCACTGAATGTAATCAAATCCAGTTCACAGCGACAGAGTGATTGCTGAATCTAGAGAACAAACAAGCGCTTGAGGATTTTGTTTGGCCTTTTTTTAGGGGATCCAACTGGGAGAGTCTCATCCATAGAATTACAGAGTCATACATAGAATCAGGTTTTATATAGAGAGTTATAGAATCATATATAAAACCATAGTAGTATACATAGACTCTCATGCGTGGAATCCTAGACTCTCATACATCATAGAGTTGTATCAGGTCTTTTCTTTTGAGCCACAAGCCAGCTCCCAAATCACGACACAGAGACTGAATACCTGTTGTAAATGCTCAGCCTCATCTTAGCTCTTATTTGAATCTGTTTCTCTCTGTCTACGATTTGCCTCAGGGCTTTTTACCTTTCTTTCTGTACATCCTGCCCTGTGTTTGCTGGCTGGCAGCTGCCTGACTGGCCCCTCATGTCTCCCTCTTCCCCTCCCTCATTCTCTCCTCCTCTCTTCTTAGTGGGGCTAGATTTCTCTTTCTACATATTCTCTCTGCCTGCCTGTCTTGCTATCCCTCCTCTGCCTAGCTGTTGGCTGTTCAGCTGTTGATTAACCAATCAGGTACCTTAGGCAGGCAAGGCAAAACAGCAACGCATCTTTTCATAATTAAACAAATGCAACATAAACAAATGTATCACATCCTTAACATCATTAAACAAGTGCAGCAGGAACAAACGTAACACACCTTCACACAGTTAAATATTCCACAACATAAACGTAACACACCTTCACACAGTTAAATTTTCCACAACATAAAACGTAACACACCTTCACACAGTTAAATATTCCACAGCACAACCAAATGTAACACACCTTCACACAGTTAAATATTCCACAACATAAACAAATGTAACACACCTTCACACAGTTAAATATTCCACAGCACAACCAAATGTAACACACCTTCACACAGTTAAATATTCCACAACATAAACGTAACACACCTTCACACAGTTAAATATTCCACAACATAAACGTAACACACCTTCACACAAATATTCCACAACATAAACAAATGTAACACACCTTCACACAGTTAAATATTCCACAACATAAACAAATGTAACACACCTTCACACAGTTAAATATTCCACAACATAAACGTAACACACCTTCACACAAATATTCCACAACATAAACAAATGTAACACACCTTCACACAGTTAAATATTCCACAACATAAACAAATGTAACACACCTTCACACAGTTAAATATTCCACAACATTGAGTCTCAATACAAAAATTGTAGACAGACTTAACAATCCCAGGCATTGGCGTGGTACAGTTCCTGACAGAACTGTGGAGAAAGAGACAGAGGCGCAGCTTCCACCGCCCCCTCCCAGTCATGGGACAGAGCAGAACACTGCACATTTGGGGGCACGTGCGCACTGGGGAGTACGGCCTGCTGCAGTCACCTGTCAGTGCTGAGAGCGGAAGTCCTCCGTTATACATTTGGAGTCATTTTTAGAAGGTTACAAAGAAAATCCCTTTATTTTTTCCTATTTGGCTTCACTTGTTTTTACGTTTAGATTACTGATTCGGTGGGTGTTCATTCTGTGCTGGCAAAGGTTTGGGGGTGGCTTTATCCTTGTTCAGTTATCTCCTGCTCTTACAGTCTTGCGTCACCACAGTGGAATACCAGAGCCAGCAGACTTTCAGGGAAAACTGTCATTTGCTCAGTTTTTGGTGCCGGTAAGCAGCATTCCCACATGGCCTCTGCGTCAGTTCTCACCTTCGGATTCCTGCCCTGAGGTGCTGCCTTGGTTGTTCTTTTTTTTTTTTAATTTATTTATTTATTAAAGATTTCTGTCTCTGCCTTGGTTGTTCTTGAGGATAGTCTATGACCCTGAAGCCAAATAAACCCGTTCACCTTCAAGTTGCTTTTGCTCAGTGTGGTCACAGCTGCAGAGGTGCAAACAAGACGTTTCCTATTTTACTTCTTTTTATTCAAAGCCAGTAACAAACTCTTTAAATCTTTGGTTCTGGGTATTGAACTTGGGGCCTCTGCTACACTAAGCTCACGCTCCACCTACTTACATCTGAGCCCTGGAGTCTCCATTTGTAATCTGGTAATTCCCACTAGTACTGGAGCTGAACCCAGGGCCAAACTGTGCTAGGTAAGTACTCTTATCACTGAGTTAGGTCTCTACACGTACCTGCATGCACACACGTGTACACACACACTTGTTGAAACAGAAGCCTGCCCAATAATCTCAGGTGGCCCTTGAACTCACGATTTTCCTGCCTCAGCTTCCCAGGTGCCAGGATTACAGGTGTGTGTCATCTTGCCCAGCTTATTCTTTTGTGGAATGGAATCTTACTATGTAGCCCAGCCTGGCCTTGAACTAAGGACCTCCTGTCTCCCTCTCCCAAGTGCAGGGATTACAGATGCACATACCACTCCTGGCTGTGTGTGTTCCTTTTGTATCCTTTTACTTTACGGTTATTTTATAGGGGTGGTTTCACCATCAGTTCTCTGAATTGTCACATCATCCACAAAGAGGAATAGATTTTCCTGGTCCCGATTGCCCCTCTGAGGTAACAGTGAGCATTGGGACGGCGCAGGGTTTTCTTCTTAGCTGGGTACATTAGTGCACGACACTGTGCTTTAGAAACCAAGTCAACCATTTAGACTCCCATGTTTAAGTCATTTCTAACACCTGTTTAGCCATACACTCTGATTTTATGGAAGTAATATCATAATTCATTAGAAAACGAAAATAGGAGTCGGGCCAGCAAGATGGCCCAGCAGATAGAAGTGCTCGCCACAAAAGCCTGGGGACATGAGTTTATCTTCAGACCCATGTGAAGCTGGAAAAGAACATATTCACAAAGCTGTGCCCTGGGACATGAGTTTCTCTTCAGACCCATGTGCAGCTGGAAGAGAACATATTCACAAAGCTGTGCCCTGGCCCACATGTGCCATGGCTTAAGTGTGCATACATGCGCATACACAGTACTTTTTAAATATAAGTCAATAGATAAAATTTAGTTTCTCTGTGCTGAAGAGAAGGCTCGGTGGTTAAGAGCCCTAGCTGCTCTTCCAGAGGATCTGGGTTCAAAGTCTGGCCTCTGAGTACCAGGCATGCATATGGTGTGCAGACATGTGTACCAGCAAAACACCCATACATGTGACAGAAATGAAGTTCTTTTTCGTGTGTGAATTTAGTTTTGTTAGTGTTGAGTTGTTCATCTTGATGCCCATCCTTTTGTTTATGTAGTTTCCTTAGCTGATGGTTCTTTGGTTTTGTTTTGTTTTACCAGATAGGGTTTCCTTATGTAGCCTCAACTTTCCTGGAACTATCCTGTAGACCAGGCTGGCCTCAAACTCACAGAGATCCACTTGCCTCTGCCTCCCAAGTACTGGGATTAAAGGTGTGTGCCACCACTGCCCAGCTATCTGATTATTCTTAATATTCTGATTAAATTTTGGGAGAATTTTTCTTATTTGAGGTACTGGAAGTTGAGTCTAGATTCTCCATTCTAGGCAAGGAAAGAGAATTTTTTTTTCCCCCGAGACAGGGTTTCTCCGTAGCCTAGGAGCCTATCCTGGAGCTAGCTCTTGTAGACCAGGCTGGCCTCAAACTCACAGAGATCCGCCTGCCTCTGCCTCCCGAGTGCTGGGATTAAAGATGGGATGGCGCCACCACTGCCAGGTAGAAAGGGAAATTATTAGCAGCCAATGCAGATGGACTCCAGTGCCTCCTGCTTGGCTCACCTCTTTACGGGGTGATGGCTGCAGAGTCTGGAAGTAAGTAGAGAGGGTACTAATGGCTTAGTCACCTTTTCTGCTACTGTGACGTGGCTCTAGCAATGGCTCAGCAGTTAACACTGGCTGCCCTCCCGGAGGTTCCAGGGTTGATCCCAGCACCCCATGGTGGCTCACCACCACGTGTATCCCCAGTTACAGGCAATCCAATAAATACCCTCTTCTGGCCACAGACAATATGCATATTGTACTTATACATACGTACGTACGTACATACATACAGGGGAAGCAGTCATACATATGAAATAATGATATCTTTAAAAATTGCTCTGATGGAAACAGTTTAAGATAGCTCACAGTTCCCGTCACAGTCCATCCAGCAGGGACGTCAGCAGCAGGCGCATGAGGCACCATCAGAAGGCAGGAAACCATGATTGCTATGCTCACTCACTTTCATCTATTTGTACAGTCCAAGATCTAAGCCAGGGAGTGAAGCCACGCATGGTGGGCAGGCCTTCCTGCCTCAGCTAACCTAATCAAGATGATCCCCATGGGAATGATGAGAGCCTGTCTCTGCAGTGATTCAGGGTCTCAAGGTGATCCCTATGGTTAACCATCACACCTAATTGAAAGGGCCTTGGGCCATTTTGTAGTGGTGGCATGTTCATAGAGGAGATTAATTTGCTCAAATTAATTCACACTGAAACGGTTTTCTGAAAGTTTTCATTTAGGGAAACCAAATGCCTGTCCACTGTGGCTAGTCAGGTGTATGTCCTGTTTGATCTGATACAGTTTCGGATTGGATCTATATTCCTGATAATCCCATACAGATAGAGTATCATTTATCTCACATAGAAAAGTGCATGTGTGGTTATGTGATGATGGAGGGCTGAAATCTTGTGTCCTCTGCTGTCTCTGGCAGCATTGCCAAAGCCACCGGCTTCGAATCCGATTCATCAGTCACTCGACTGCCCTGTCCCTGCAGCAATTCCACACTGCTGTCCAGGGAGTTCTGAGGCAGCCAGCTCCTCCATGGTCCCCATGCTGGGACTCTATGAGGGCTCTGCTGGAGAGTGCAGACCAGTGGCCCCTATGTAAAGTTGCATGACACATGGCTCTGGCTTCTCTGTACCTGAAAGGTATCGTGGAGACATCCCTGTGGTTAGGACCCGGATTCCAGTGCTCTTAGAAGAATGTGTTTTCTGTTTCTTTTAAAGATATGTCTAAGTATGTATTGTTTTTTGTTAATATGTGTGTGAGAGAGAGTTTACGTGTACCGTGTGCACGTAGGAGCCCACAGGCCAGAAGAAGGTGCCAACTCTCTAGAACTGGTATTAACAGGCAGTTGTAAGCTGTCAGACGCGGCGCTGGGAACTGAACTCCAGTCCTCTGCAAGAGCAGTAGTGCTCTTAACTACTGAGCCATCTCTCTAGCCCTGGACTTGGGTTTTTGAATCAGGAAGATAATCTTGTTTGGTTGGTTTACTCCTAATCTAAAACTGGCTCTCCCTGTCAAAAGCTGTCGTAGGAAAGCGCCTGCTTGGTGTCTCCCCACCTGCTTTCCATCCAGCCCTTCTGTGCTGGTGCTGCTCAGTCTGTCCTCTTCCCCCTTCCCTGTGTATCTCACTCTAGTAAGATTCTCTTTTATCATTATCAGTGTTGTGTATTACTGCAAGAAAGAAATGTTTGCAGTGAAACTTGAAATAACCTCCAGTGTGTGAGTAGCCCACGCAGTTGGCTATCAGATAAAGTATGTAGAAGTCAAACAGCTGAAACACGGGGCTGGCGGGACGACTCCGTGAGTGCAGGTCCAGAGTGCGCGTGTGCAAGGAGAGAAGAGCCTGACAGTTTTCCTCTCCCCCCCATATTTGCTGCTGCGCACATGCTGAAAGCTTTTGTTTGTTTATTTTTCGAGGCAGGGTTTTATTGCACAGCCCTGGCTGTCCTGGAACTCGCTCTGCGAACCAAGCTGGCCTCCAGCTCACAGAGATCGGCTGCCTCTGCCTCCAGTGTGTGCCGCCACTAACCCAGTTGTTTCCCACGTTTTCTGGCCTCTCCAGTTTACACAGTCCAGTTGCAAATGGGAACTGAACTGTCGTGGTGGCTCAGCTTCTTCTCACTGGCTGTAATAAACTGCCCTGAGAGAGGCAGCCTGAGGGAGAAGGGCTGGTGTGGCTCAGGATTCCAGGTTGTGGTCCATGATCCTGGGAAAATCAAGGCAGCAGATATGTTAAACAGCTGCACTTATTACATCTGCAGTCGAGAGCGAAGAACACGGAATTAATGCCTGCTGCTAGCATTCAGCTGGCTTTGTCCACTCTTATAGAATGTAGGATCTCTGCCCCAAGGAATGAGGCCACCCATCTTCCTACTTCAGGTCTTCCTACTGCAGCTAGCATAATACAGACACACCCTCATGGGCCAGCCTAATTAGACAGGTGGTTCTAGATCATGTCGGGTTGATAGTTAACTGCTATATTAGGGTTTTGCTTTTGCTTTTGTTTCCTGAGACAGCGTGTTACCATATGGTTTGTTTCCCTTCCAGGCTCTGTGGCGCTGAGGTGTGGAATGTTGGTGGCTCACTGCACCAGTTGGTTAGGAAAGCTTGTTCTCTCTGGCCTTTTCTATATCCCCTAATTCTGATCACAGTGCCATTGCAGGGCCCACTGTCCTTCGGGGACGTGGCTGTGGCCTTCACCCAAGAGGAGTGGCAGCGGCTGGGCTCTGAGGAGAAGACGACGTACAGGGACGTGATGCTGGAGACCTACAGCAACCTCGTCTCCGTGGGTGAGCACCCGTTGCTTTCTAGATGCTGCGAATTCAGTGATTGTCTCCAGTGTAAAGGAACCAGGGCTCCTTAGTCCTTCTGGGTAGACATGAAGTCTGTCTTTGCTGCTCCATTGAAAGAGTCTACTTTTTGCCCCCTTGTGGCTCTGGATATTGAACCCAGCTCCTATATGTTAAGCAAGTCCTCTGCCTCTTAGCTGCAGCCCTGTACAGAAAATGGTAAGAAATGAGAGGGGTGTGGTGTAACCTGTGGCGCATCTTCCTGTGTCGGAGTGATTTCTGCGCCCGGTAGTCCCAGCCCTTCTCCTTTTCTTGTTAACAGGGTATGATGTCACCAAGCCAAACGTGATTATTAAGTTGGAGCAGGGAGAAGAACCGTGGATGCTGGAAGGCGACTGCCATGTGCAGAGTCACGTGGGTGAGTGACAGGAGGGTGAAATGTTACAAGGTAATCTCTCCAGTTGATACTGTAGGGGGAGCTTTTGAAACTTGGTGCTTTGTACCAGGCAAAATCGAGAAACATGGGGGTTTATTTGTATTCAGAGTTTTAAAAAAAATGACTTGAAATGAAAAGCTGGACTTAGTGAACATTTTCTTTGTGTCACAAGCTGTTTAAGCCCTGGTTGTGAAACTCTCTTTACGTGGGAGGAAAATGGAACTTTCAGAACGTTTTGACTTATGTACCAGATAGAAAGATGAAGACTTCACTAGACATGGTGGCTCAGGTCTGTAGTCTCAGAACTTGAGCAAAAACAAAAGCAAGGATTCCAGAAGTGCCTAAGGCACAGTCTCCCGTGTGGTGATGAATTGCCACAGTGTAAATGCAGAAGTGTTTGGGATGGCAGTCCTCTGGTGTGGTGATGTGTTGCCGCTTGATATAAAGGGCCATTAGAACATTTCTTTTTCGTATATGCCCAATAACTATTTTCCCCTGCTCCCCTTTGCCGCGAGTCCCCCCACTTCTATCTAAGTCTATCACCCTTTCGGGAACTGGGCTTTCTGCTCATCATTCTTAGGTCATTTTCATTTTCTTCTCTCAAAGTTGATTTGTAAAGTACAGTGCTTGTTTTCAATATAAATTTACTGTCTTCCCACTTCTTTTTTTGGTTCCTGTCCTGGAACTAGCTCTTGTAGACCAGGCTGGCCTCGAACTCACAGAGATCCGCCTGCCTCTGCCTCCCGAGTGCTGGGATTAAAGGCATGCACCACCACCGCCCGGCTGTCTTCCCACTTCTTATCCCCACACACATACACAGATATATATTACATGTTATAAATCAAAACAGACCTATACACTCATGATAATTTTACTCATAGATTGCCCACAGATAAGACATTTAGGTACTGCTCCTTCTGTATTCTGTAAATTCATATTGACAACATTTGTTCAATCTTACTTCTTTTCAGAAATCAGTAAAGTTGATGACACCATAGAGAAAATCCAAGAAAGCGAAGGCAAATGTATGAGGCGAACTGAGGATCTCAGCAGCCGAAGAGCAGAGAAGGGGGACGCGATTGATAAAACGGATCGCCTGGAACTGCGCCTCGTTTCTTCAAGCACAGGGGCTCCCCGTTGTGTGTCTTGTGGGCAGACCCTGGAACCCGTGGCAGCGCTGATTAGTAGTGATGGACGGTATGCATCGGAGAAGCCCGACAAGTGTGGTGACTGTGGGACAGCATGCAGAGAGAAAGCGGGCGACTCTAATCAAAATGGAGATACTTCTGCTCGACATGATGAAAGCATTCTGCAGAAAATCACCATTGTGGAGAAGCCCTTTGATTATGAGTGCATGGAAGCCTTAGACAGCGAAGCTGTTTTCATGGCTCACGAGAGAGCTTACATGGGGGAGAAACCCTATGAATGGGATGATGATTCTGGACCAGACTTCATCCAGATGTCAGATTTCAGTGCATATCAGAGATCACAACTGGAAATGAAGCCCTTTGAATGTACACAGTGTGGGAAGTCCTTCTGTAAAAAGTCCAAATTCATCATACATCAGAGAGCTCACACAGGAGAGAAACCGTATGCGTGTAATGTGTGTGGAAAGTCCTTCAGTCAGAAGGGGACCCTCACTGTCCATCGGAGGTCACACTTAGAGGAGAAACCCTATAAGTGTACTGAATGCGGGAAAACCTTCTGTCAGAAGTTACATCTCACACAGCATCTGAGAACTCACTCAGGAGAGAAGCCCTATGAGTGCAGTGAATGTGGGAAGACCTTCTGCCAAAAGACGCACCTCACTCTCCACCAGAGGAACCATTCCGGGGAGAGGCCCTATCCGTGCAACGAGTGTGGGAAATCCTTCTCCCGGAAGTCTGCCCTCAATGACCATCAGAGAACACACACCGGAGAGAAGCTGTATAAGTGTAACGAGTGTGGGAAATCCTACTACCGAAAGTCCACTCTCATTACACACCAGCGAACGCACACAGGGGAGAAGCCGTACCAGTGTAGCGAGTGCGGGAAGTTCTTCTCCCGGGTGTCGTACCTCACCATCCATTACAGGAGCCATTTAGAAGAGAAGCCGTACGAGTGTGCGGAGTGCGGGAAGACCTTCAATCTGAACTCAGCCTTCATTCGCCATCGGAAGGTGCATTCGGAGGACAGAGTCCTTGAGTGTAGTGAATGCGGGAAGTTCTCCCAACTGCAGTGTCTCCCTGATCGCACGAATGACTTAGGACAGAAACACTATGAATGCAGTGAGTGTGGGAAGACCGTCCTTGAAAGCTCCGCCTTCAGTGGGCCCCAGTCTGTTCCAGAAGCGGAGAAGACGTACGACTGTAATATATGTGGGAAGTCGTTCTCTGATTTGTCATGCTACACTGTACATTACAGAGGTCATTCTGAAGAGAAGCCCTTCGGGTGCAGTGAGTGTGGGAAAACCTTCTCTCATAATTCATCCCTCTTTAGACATCAGAGAGTGCACACAGGTGAAAAGCCGTATGAATGTTGTGAGTGCGGGAAGTTCTTCTCGCAGAAGTCCTACCTCACCATCCACCACCGCATCCACTCGGGGGAGAAGCCCTACGAGTGCAGCGAGTGCGGGAAGACCTTCTCCCGGATGTCCAATCTCACCGTGCACTACAGAAGCCACTCGGGAGAGAAGCCCTACGAGTGTAACGAGTGTGGGAAGGTCTTCTCTCAGAAGTCCTACCTCACTGTCCACTACCGGACTCATTCGGGAGAGAAGCCTTATGAATGTAATGAATGTGGGAAGAAGTTCCACCACAGATCAGCCTTCAATAGCCATCAGAGAATTCATAAAAGGGGGATATAAGTGCACTCGGTGTGGAAAATCTCTGACATCTCAATTTAAAACAGACATTTGGTTATAATGAACATTGGAAGTTTAATGGGGAGTCAAGTATGGATTTTCCCCCTAATTTTTATATTTGTGGTGCTGGGATTGAATACAGGGCCTTTTGCATGCTATAGATGCTCTAAATCGAGCTGCACCCCAATGATTCAAGAGTAGAGCATCCATGCTCCATGTGAGAAGCCCTAAAACAAAGTCCATCTTAACCTGAATTTTCAGAAAAGAATCTGTAGAAATTCAGCAAGAAACAAACCATGACCATATCACTAATGGGACACTAGATAATATTTACAGGAGTGAAACTTTCAAAGTATTTAATATTTATTTCTGATTTAAATTGTATTTACAAATCAGGGAATCTTGCTAAGAAACATCAGTAAGGTGATGTAACACACTTTGGAAACTTATTAAAAGCCATATTTGTGATATAAAAACAGGTGTTTATAGAAAATATGCAAGAAGTTATCTGTTCTGAATAAACTTATAAAAAGGAAGTTATAGCGGGGCAGTGGTGGCGCATGCCTTTAATCCCAGCACTCGGGAGGCAGAGGCAGGCAGATCTCTGTGAGTTCGAGACCAGCCTGGTCTACAAGAGCTAGTTCCAGGACAGGCTCCAAAACCACAGAGAAACCCTGTCTCAAAAAAACCAAAAAAAAAAAAAAAAAAAAAGGAAGTTATAAAGTTGGGAGTTGATCCTAAGGCTGACCAAATATGTGGCATCTCTGATGTTTTAGAAATGCAAATTAATAGTAATTCTATGCAATCTTTCGCAACCATGGCTGTGAATAATTTTGAAAACATGATATTGAGCCTTAGAATGGCAAGTGTTACAATGGGATTTATTGGTGAAATTGTTATATAATGGGAAAGCACATGATTTTTTTGTGAATGCTTACCAGTAGACTGGTTTTGTTAAAAATTTTCAACTGGAATTGAGCAATTTTTTAAAAATACTATTTTGATAAACTTTTCTGTCTTAGTGTTGTATTGCTATGAAGAGACACCATGATCATAGCAAATCTTTTAATTTTTTATTAATTAAATATTTATCTTACATCCAAACCCTCCCTTCTCTCCCTCCTCTTCACCCTTCCAATCCAGGACCATGGCAGTTCTTACAAAGGAAAACATTTAATTGGGGCTGCTCACAGTTCAGAGGTTCAGTCCACTATTGTCATGGTGGAAAGCATGGTGGCACGCAGGCAGACAAGGTGCTGGAGTAGTAGCTCAGAGTTCTAATCCATCTGCAGCAGGCAGCCAGAACAGAGAGATGTGGCCTGGCTTGAGCATTTGCAACCCCATGCCCACCCCCAGTAACACACTCCCTCCAGCAGGGCCGCACCCATCCCAACAAGGTCACACCAGGTGACAGGATTCAGATGAGCCTATGGGATCGTTCCTATTCAAAGCACCACATACACAAACATAATTTGGAGTTGCTCATGACAGTTTCACTAAAAAGAGTGTTACATAATATAAATATGGTATCATTTTTATTTATCGTCCGCTATTCTCAGGGTTTTAGAATGAAATATGCTTCTGGTAGACATTTTCTGGTTGATACTTTTCGGCATTATTCCCTGCTAAAAGAATTTGCCTACTATTTCTCCATGTGAGAATTGAGAGCAAGCAGTTTATATCAATAATCATGATACTCTTCTGATTGCTTGTTCAATAACCTCTCGCTGCCCTCAGTAGATCTGGCCCAAGACCTCTAGTCATTACCTGCAGCAAGATAGCCCCAAGCCGTGCATACTGTGGTTCTGCAGTACTTTAGTGTGATCACCAAAATACCTGCTTAATGATGGGCAGGTAGTGACTACAGTGTGGAATCACTGGACAGAAGGGTGATTGACATTCCGGTGAGATTTCTTCAACACTCCATAAAATGATGTGTTTAAACCTTAGGGATTGAGGGCTAGGAATATTGTTCAGTAGAAAGGCACTTGCCTACCATGCAGGAGACTCTCTCTTTGATTCTGTGCCCACCCCCAAAATATTGTTGCAAAATAAGTTGCTTCCACTTAGTGTATTTGAGCTGTGACTGACAGCCCACCCCACAGATCCTTAAGACTACAGAAAGTCAGACTTTATATGACCTGAATCCAGACAAACCAAGTGGAGATGCTTGTTCTGCAGATGGTGATCAGACCCTCCCTACCCCAAGAAGAGAGATGGTTGGATATTCCCAAAGCTTCCCAAAGCTAACAGACACATGAAGAAAAGACAAGTGAAAAAAATATTTATCATCGTAGCAAACTAGGGAGAAGAACCTCCTTAACTGGAGAAAGGGTGACTTCAGCTACGGCAAGACCATTCAGAAGAGGGCCATATTGGCAGTTTCTCCCCAGGTAAAATAGGGCACCAGTGATCTGATGCAACATCGCACAGGACACGGCCAGAGGAAACGATGGAAAAAACAAGAAAGGAATAAATCAGTAAAGGAGTAGGACTTCTATCTGGCATAACCTTGCCCAAAGCACATTCCGGGGGATATTCCGATATATGAGTTATAAATAATAAGGAAATTAAACAAGATTCTTGCATCAAGGTCATTTTATAACACTAGGGGTTTTTTTTTAAGCATTGACTATTTTGAGAGTGATACCCTTTACAAAAACCTTCAAATGTATAAGGAAAAAATATATTTCAAGAATTTTGTCTAAACACAAAAATTTTATCTAGAAAAAATACGTTGCCACAGAGTAGGAAACCTTGTGGTTTCCAGGAGACGCAAGCTCAAAGGGATATCAGTTTCCCCAAAGTTAGCCCACAAGTAGTGGAATCTCAAATTTTAGTTATCTGTTGGAAATGAACGAGCTGAATCTGAAGTGTACAGAAACAATCGTTAATAATTACAGAAGCTAACTTGTAAAACTGCTGCGTGCGGAGGCTGGAGAGATGGTTCAGCAGTCACAAGTGTGCTGCTCCTACAGAGGACCTGGGCTTGGTCCAGCACCCACATGGGGTGGCTTACAACAACCGGTAACTCCCAACTCCAGGGGGTGCAGCACCCTCTTCTCACCTCTATGGGCTCATGCAGTCAAGTGCGCGCACACACAATACACATAATTTTAAAATATTTTTTCATGTTGTCTGTGCTGACTTAAGCCTGCAATCCCAGCACTCAGGATACAGTAGCAGGCAAAAGTACCATGACTTCAAGACTTGGGTGACAAGATGTGTACAGAGGGAGACCCTGAATCAAAACAGAATAAAACCCCCTCTATTTGTCAATACTAAGACCTGTTAGAAAGTCACAGAAGTTATGGCATAGAAGTAGGTTGCCCATGAGAACAGAATAGAATATTCTACAGGGCCCCGAAATGTGGGTCACCTGACTCAATAGGTGACACCAAAGTAGAGGGAGAAGATGTCGCTTCCATTTGACGCTGTGTCAGCTGCACTGTCTACTATAACAAAAACCAGGAAAACCAAAGTAAGACGGTGTGTTTATGAAATGTAACAACGTTTTATGAAAACAGAAGGGGCAGGTTTGGTGACCACTCCTACTGTTTCCAGCACTCAAGGGCAGAGGCAAGTGGAGGTCATCTTGATCCACACAGGCCAGCCAGGACTACATGATGAGAACTTGTCTCAGAATTATTAGATTTTATGTGTTTGGTGTAGGCAGCGTTCCAAGCAAGATCAAAAAGGCATTAAAGCATAAAAGTTTATTTTGGGTTATACTAAAATTTGGACATCCACAACCACCTGTAGCTCCAGGTCCAGAGCCAACACCTCTGGTCTTCGCGCTCACTGGCACATATACATAGATACAGTTTAGAGTGAGCAGGAAGGGCTGGATGTAAGCGGCGTAATAACCAGGCTAGCTTAATATGAAACAGCAAATTTTAATAAAGGGATAGCTTACAACACCAGGGATCCAGCGATGAGCAGGAGATACAAAAAAGAGCGGCAGGGCTCACACCCGCCAGATTTTTACGTAAACATCAGCCCGAGGCGAACATGCCCCCCCCCAATGGGCTGGGCTATCACTACATCTCCCCCTTTTGTCTAAATAAGACAGGACTAAACCAAATACAACTATATACAATAGTAACTAATAAATATAACAAACAATATTGAGCTAGAAACATATAACAAAAGTTTTGCTAAACATTCTATCTCAAGGAGTCTAAATAATGTAGAGAGTAACTACAATTATATAATCTTCAACTCAGTCAAAGATCTGAGAAGGGAATTAATATTACTTAACAAATGAGAGATATCCAAAATGTGCAACAAATGACAGAGACAACTGACTACCTGGGCAATCACCCAAAGTCTTGTTTGCAATGTTGAGTCAACCAACTTTGGCTAAGGCCTAACATAACTGACATACCATTATTAAAGGCAAGGAACTTTCTTAGAACTATCCTACCCTGTCTTGGCAAGATAAGACAATCCTGTTTCATCCACTTATGGCTATTCTGTATCTTTGTCAGTAGTTGAGGTATGTGCTTTTCTTAACCCAAAGGCCAGTTTTGCCAAGAAGACAAGCTCCCAGTGGAGTGTCTTTGGTGCTCAACGTTCTCTCGGGAGTAGAGTGATGTCGCCAGGGGTGATTGTGTCTCATTGGCACAGAATTCTAGGTTAGATTAAAGGCCATTTTCTACAGCTCTTTGAAGAGGCTGAAGATTATGCTATCTATACTAAATATAATCTCTATGTATCTAAAAGACCTGATTAATTCTCAATACCTATCTAACTTGAAGACTAAGAGAATAAACAACTGTGCAATATATGAAGACAATGATCTTCAACTGTAAACAATGTCATTACATATCAACTGTAAACAATGTTATTATATAAATAATATCAGAGGTAGAAATGTACATTGTAATATGGTAAATGTATCAATACAATATAGACAAAGTTATAAGCATACTCTTATACAAAAATAGAGGTAGGAACACTCACATTCAATATTCAATATATCAATATACAAGAAACAGTACCAATACAATTTTCTAAAAACAGTAATTCACAAATACCAATCATCCCATCAAACCAGTTAATCCCCCCCTTTTTTTTTAAATACTCCTAATTCCATAAAATATCTCCCCATCCCCTCAACCCTAAACCAACCACTAAATGATGTCCCTAACCCTGAGGGCAAACTCTGTTGAGAGAGGGGACATCTTCCTCTAAGATTGCTTCTAGCTGACATGGGGGCGACGTTCTTCTTAGGGGGTCCTGTGAAAGCAAATGATGCTAAAATTCCCAAATTAACCTTTGACCTAAGAAAATTGTAACTAGTCTCTGAGCATTTTGAGAAGATCCGGCCAGAGTGTTGTCAAAAATGTGCACCATTCGAAATTGTCTCGTGCAGTTGGTACCAAAAAACAGGTCTAATTTTAGCACTTAAAAAAATATTCATGACGTCATAATAACCAGATTGAGTTGATGTCATGGGGCCCCATCTTCATCCTGGAAACTTCAAAGATTACCGTAGGAAAATTTGTTGCTTGTTATGGGAAATTTAAACATTAACAACAAGGACATCTACTGACATATAAAGAAAGACACAGATATGAGGAAAGGCAAAGAAAGTTTATCAAGTACTGTCCCATTTCATTGCTCCTGACCTGAGACAGAAACTCTGAGATATCTCTTATCAATAGGCTTGGAATAGAAAAGGGACTGAGCCATAGACCAACTCCAAAACCAGCTCTACATATTTATAAAGAAATGTTTAATAAGACATATAAAAAAATTAATACTTACAGAACATGTATAGTTTTATTGTTGATCCTTAGTGGGTTGTAACTAGTTTCCATCCATCAGTAATTAAATATTCAGGGTCCCTTAAATTCTTTGAAGATAGGTATTTTCCTGTGGAGATAAGAAAAGAACCCTGCCCTCAACCTATCTGTATTTCTTACCATCAGTACGCTAGCCATCCTTGTGAATGAATTGTTATTTATCTTTTCCAAGTGACTTCTCTTCTTCAAACCGATTCTTTATTAATTTTGACGGTATCCACAATTTTTCCTCACCTGTGGAGACAAGAGCAAAACCCCTTCCCCAACGCAGCACATATCCTGGCTTCCATTGTGAGGTCAGCA